ATCTGTATTATACTTAAAATGTAGAACATTATACAGTAGACCTACTATTTTTTAAATGCGTTTTTTTACATTCGAGTATAAGTAGTATATGAATAAGAATACCCACAATTTACTTTATTTGACTATTCTGACAGTGATTAACTATATAGTAATTAATATAGGCCTACTTGACGTAGGACTATTCTTCTTTTAATGCAGCCTGTGCCGATTTTTTTTTGGGGTCGTCACACTATCAAGCTACATTTGTGGAAGCAACTTGCATTCAGAATTCAAAAGCTGGAACGAAGTCACGTGTCAGCAAACGGACTATCAACTTGTGAGCATAACTACTTTAGATGAAAACAATGCAATCCTCAATTCCTTTGAAAACTGTACTCACGGAGACTACGCCATCGGATTATCACGCCAGATGGGAATGCCGAGAGAAGATGACAGCAGTTGGAACTGGGAATCTGGTGAGACTGTGAACCTGCTAAACTGGGGTAATAATCAACCAAACCTTCAAGACAGTAAGTCCGCAGGAGTGTACATGACGACTCTGGAATCCTATTCCTATGTACCTGGCAAATGGCACGACCTTGAGAATACCTTTCAAATAGGGTTACATACTGGTAGTCTTGGATATGGATATATTTGTGAAAAATCAGTGATAAGTGAGTCAATGTAATAGATCAACAGCATAATTACCTTCTGAAATACATAATGTGTACAAGGAGTATTAAGTGTTTTCGGCTATTAGCTTTAATATATTACAGTATATAATAGACTTGACATTACATCGTTTAATTAAGTAGAGGTGACGTGACGCTAGTAACGGGAATTGTTTTTGGCTGTCATAAACATCCTTTTTGTCTTACCTATGTACATTCATAATTTGTTAGTTATTTTTTCATATTTTTTATTGAATGTCCGAATAATAAATGTATTTCAACAAATAATTTGGTTTACTATTTTTAAATAGCAGGCCTTTAGCAAATTACAGGATAGAACTATTGCTGCTATACTCAATGAATTGATTCTTAACGTATAAAAGTAACTTTCTTTGCCATTTACTATTTTTCCACGTTTGAATATTTTTATAAAAAGAACGAAATTAAAATTATATGCCAGCAATCAGGTTATCAACTTGTGAATATAATTACATCAGATAATAATGATGGTACACACGTGGCACGAAGGCGGATCCAAAGAAATATCTAGGTAGGGGCCATGCGAATGAAAAAACACAGAGCGGGTGGTGTTTGTCTACAGTTGCTTGAACATTATGCATAGCTGACAAGTGGAAATGGAAAGTGTTGCTGGTTGAGCCTTCAGTCCTACTATGATTGTTTAGCACTTCTAGGTGTCCGGAAATAGTATCTCATATATGACAGCTCATATAAACTTTTATGTTTCGCAGCAACCCCAAATTTATCCACGACTGCAGCAAAGCAGTCATTTACCAGTGGTTTACAGTCGAGTTTCACTTATCGCAGACCAACAATAATATCAACCACAGTAGGAATAACTGGAGGAACCAAGGAAAGAACTGATATCAGTAATGGACCATTTACAAAAGCTAACGCAGATAAAGATGAAAGTAGGCAACTTTAATATTAATTAATATTTATCTTTTGACGTTTTCCCCCATTACAGAAAATTATAAAAGTATTTCTAGATATGAATATATTTTTTATAAATGTTTAAACTATGATAAGTAATTTTAGTAATTACTCATTCTGAAAATCACAATGTCTGCATCATTATGCTAACAGTTCACACATATATTATTATTATTATTATTATTCGAAAATATTGTTGATTTTTATAAACTTAGAGAAAGTTAATATAATATTTCATTTGAGGGCTATTTTAAATATTAAATACCCAAAAATAATTAAAAATAAATCTTTATATTCAGTTACAAAATCGGATCCATTGACAAATCGTATTGACAAATGTAGGTGGGCAATGCTTGGGCACATTTTACTGAGTGATGAACTCACTCCTGCACATTGTGCACTTGTATTTGCCGTCACTCAGTCAGTATTCTTGAAAGGCAGAAGACACAGTGTCACTTTATCCTCAAAAATTAAATCTGATATAAAATAAAGAGGGCTTAGTTTCGAAAATATTGTTGATCTTAATAAACTTAAATAGAAATAACCAGAAACAAAATCCGATGGAAGGGAATGTTTAAAAAATGATGCGGTATGTAAAACATGGCTGTGACTTCACAATTTATTTGTGTTTGCCTAAAGTTTAATAATGATAATATATATATATATATATATGTATATATATATGTATATATATACATATATATATACATATATATGTACATATATATTACATAAGTACGTATACTTCAATTCTGATTGATTTACATAATAAGATAATAGGCCTATATCATAATATAAAATAGTTTGAAAGTGTGCGTAGTACAAAAATAATCAAATTGGTCGTAAGCTGTCTTTAAAAAGGTATATGTCAATTAATAAGTAATAATACCGTACGTTACAGCAGCCTTATCAAATGTGTGTGCTCCAAGATGGTATGTGATTGTAAATTAATCATTAATTTTATTTTCAAAACTACATTTTATATGCTTATTTACATCTATATCCCATATGACTTCAGCTCTTCATCACCTTCCTTGCAACATCTTGTTTTCCTTGCTTAATATGTTTTTTTTTGTTACAATGCCTTGCCTGTCTGCCTATTCGTTGTGTTTCGTCTGTGCTTGTCAGTTATTATTTATTTCATTTTTATTTATTTTTTATCGTTTGCCTTTTTCTCTGTAAAGGTGGCAAAGCTCATATTTTGTTCTCCCCACCTCACTTGAATGTGTCCTTTTTCTTCATTTGGTAAAATAAATACTGAAAATATTCTCAAAATGTTCGCACCTCAGCCCCAACCATGTTGGGGCTGAGGTGTGGACTATCACGTACCCATGATAGAAGATCATGGGGGAAGGGGAACACGCCCCTCCACATATTTTTTTAAGGGGTAATGTTGTCCCCTCACTTTTCGTGAGTAAAGAAGATGCCTGAAAATGGTTGAAATAAACTGCATAAATTTTTCAGGTTTTAACGAAAGAGCGCTGTATAGCTAGCCAGAGTACATCTTATTTTATAGCAAGATACCGGTATCTCTGCCCATAAAATATCTGAATTACCTAAAGAGTGTCACATCCGGCAATCTAGAGGTAACATTTCCTCAAATTTTACCACCTCACCACCAATTGTGGTGGGGCTGAGATGGGTGTGGACTCACGGATTTGAAGTAGGAAAAGTAAATACGTCAAAGACAATGTTTTTAAGTTTAATTTTCTATGGTACATCACACATATTAATTAAGATCTCTGTGGTTGCCAAATATGTAATCTCTATTCCTTTTAACTTTAGGTTTCGTGATCGATTATTTTGCAAGTCAAAGATCAAAACGAACCAGGAATTTACGAGTGATTTAGTTGAGGTTATACCGTGTGATATATACAGTATCAGTTTGGATAATGGTCAGCTTCTATGTGTTGAAAACACACAAAAACTAAAAAGACATCCACGTACTACTGAAGTTCAAGTTGAAGTTGAAGTTGAATGTAATAATAAGCCATTATACGTGAATCATAGCATAAATGGGCATGCCAGAAAGCGTCCAAATGATAACGAATGTAGAAAAAAATCAGATTACGAACAACATCAAGAAGAGGAAATGGTAAAAGTGTATGCTGAGATTACAGGCGACAGTGAACGAAAAGTGTACGAACCTCAGTCAATTCATTCGGAAAGACTTTAAAATTCATCAGATTAAACGAATGATATAGAGATGCACCCTACAAAAAGACTTGTGCCATTGTAGCTACTGCGGTAGATTATAAGGAGAAAACTTAAAGATGCCTTAAACATAAACATGAAAACCAGAAAAATGAAACAACAAAGTGAAAGATTATCTTCGATTTCAAAAATGTCTTAAAATATGAAGGACCCCTTTGCAATTCAAATAAAACATTTAATATTTAGAGAAACATTACAATTTTCACTGATTTACAGACCTTTCAGTACCAAAACCAGCATGCCCGTACGCAGTGGGGAGAGGTGGGACGGGTGCATACGCAACCCCCCCCCCCCACCAATTACTAAAGGTCCACATTTTTTAACTCACTTCAGACCTATCAGAGAAGTTTCCAACTAGACAAGCAACGACTTTTAACTGTCCATAAAGATTTTTGAGGAATTTGAGTGTTTTCCCCACCGCTTGCATGTCAATGATTCACTGCGAACAAACTCATCTTCCTTCTATGTTTCACTAAAATCATCTTTAGTTTTGCTTGGAAATCATTTTGATACAGCAGGGACGGATTTAGACCTTCGCACAGTTCGCCATGGTGAATGTCAGAACAACAAAAATATAATACACAAAGAATCGTCAAAAACAATACAGAAAGATTATTGGTTGCCTAGACTAATATATCAGATTATTGTGCGATTGTCAGTAAAGCACTGGCTCCTCTACCCAACGTCCAGCCACAGTAGCAGCAGCGATGAAGGAATGTGATGATGACATTTTCCTTAATGCGGTGGTGCTCCCCCCAACCCTAAATTTGTCAAAATTATTTAAAAAAAAAGAAATTTATATTCAAATGTAGGTTAGTTTTATTCAGTTTAAACACCAAGGATAGCCCACGAAAGTCTAGAAGAAGACTTATTTCCAGTGGGGTCCTTCTGGTGGTGATTGGGCAGTACACAGGGAGACAATCCCCTACTCCTTTCCGAAGAGTGTACTACGTACTTTAACGTGCACATGGGCCATAAATGCACACGGGACCAACGGCTTAAACGACGGTGCACTATTGTAACTTGTATTTCAGCCCTCCAGCTGAAACACAGAAAGGCAGTGATAGGAATTGAACCGGGGACCTAGAGATCTCCACGGTTCAGCGCGCACACAGTGGCTACTACCAGATTAGCCGACCGAGCTAAACTGATTTCTTAAATTCTATAAATCTGATAGTGCCATCTCAGGCAATCTAGCGGTATCATAATCATAAATTTTCTTACCTCAGCCCCAATTATGCTCAAGCTGAGGTGTTATAGACCCTCAATGTGTGAAAGTCTTTCCCTGATTTCCCCCCCCCCCTCTATTTCGAATTCATAAATCCGCCACTGACAGTGACGGATTCAAAGAGGCCCAGTCGGCCAGTCCCCCTAAATTTTTTAAAATTAAAAAAAGAAGTGGGGTGGGTGGGGGAGAGAAAATTATATTCAAATTGTATGAGAGTGCAATTTCTGGCCATTTCGAGGTGGCATAAATATATATTTTCTGCCCTCAGCCCCAACCATGAGGTGGTATCTTTTCCATCTGTGAAAGTTTTTCCCTGGCGCCCTCTTCAGATTCTTGGATCCGCCACTTAAAATTGTTTAATATACGCATCTCCAGAAATCGATTGGATAAGACCTCAAATTATCAAACAAATTCTAGGATCCGTTCTCTCCCAACATGGTTTTTCCACCTAGGTGCCCCCACCCCTGGGAGCCATTTTGGTCCACTTTACAAATTTCGCACCAACCCAATACAAATCCTGCGTACGGGCCTGGCTAGCCACCTTTAAAAGGTTGTATGTTAAAGAGAGAAAAAAAATCGTTTATATGTCTAGTAATTGGTGAGAAGATAGCGGTATCTTATATTATTATCATCTATGAGAACCGTCAGTACCATCCTCGTCATCATTATCCTCATCGTCATCGTCCTTTTCAGCACCATCGTCATCATCAGTATATTTGGTCATGATGATCATATCATCATTATAATATCGTCATCATCATTATTATCCCCATAATCATCATCATCATTATCATAATCATCATCATCATCTTTATCTTCGTTATCATCATCATCATCATCATCATTTTTATCGTTATTAATATCATAATCATTGTTGTCTTAGTTGATATTTATTTTTAGTCAATATCTTCACTATAATAATCTTTTAATGATATTCGCTACCCTGCATCTATACATTTTTTTAAATGTTAGTTTATTTTAATAACCTAACATTAAAAAAAAAAAATTTTAAGCATTTTAAAAAGACATGAAATAATAAACAATAGGTTTTAAGAATACCAGATAACATTTTGTGATCAGTTGTATATATACATACCAATTTATCCCCTTGATATCCAACATCCGCTAACATGTTCATGCATTACTATGTTCAGATTAGGCTTATGCACCTCATAGAGGCAATAGTTTTAACGAAAGCGTAGCGTGTTTACTAAAATATTTGTATAGAGTATTCAAAATGATAATTTTCCCATAGAGTTTATTGATACAAAAATTGTTAATGAACTACTTTCATAAATACCGTAACTGCAATATACAAAATAATGAGTTTAATATCAACAATAACATTAAAACATTGAGTGTAAATAAACTTGTTATTTTCGTGTCTAATTGTTTTTGTTGTTGCAAACCTGTCAGAACAGCTTATACTAATTAAGCCTGCGGTTCGCTGGATGACTTTCATCATCTACTATTGATTATTTATCAAAGGTACATCATATTATTTTAGCTCAGTAATTTATTTCACATGAATACGTACAGATTTTTAACAGAAGATAGTATATACAAAAATAGCTCCCTCCATAAAAGTTCCCCATGGTTACATCAACGGCGGCGGAACGTTTTTGAAAGTGGGTGGGGTGCACTTTTATAAGGTCCAGTATGCGAGCGAAGCGAGCATCTAGGCTGGGGGCAAGGGCCGCCAAGAGCCCCCGGTGGGGAAGCTACGGATATTTTACGAAGTTTGGTGAATTTTGTAAGTTATTTTATAAGCATCAAGCTACTGTAATATGATTTCATATTTTTTGTAATTTAGTGTCCGATCCAGGAATTCGAAATAGAAGGGCCCAGGGAGGGTACTTTCACAGATAGAAGATCTATACTACGTAAGAGGTAAGAAAATTTGTGATTATGGCACCTCTAGATGGCCGGAAATTGTACTTCCAGACATAAAATTTGAATATAATTATCTTTGTATCTCCATTTTTTTTATTGAACAATTTAGAGGGGTAGGGGCGGGGCGGCTGGGTCCCCTTGAATCCGCCACTGGGTACTTCAGCAGATGGAGAATCTATACCACCTCAGTCCCACCATGGTTGGGGTAAGAAAATTTGTGATTATGGCACCTCTAGATGGCGGGGAATTTACACTCTCAGACTTAAAATTTGAATATAATTTTCCATTTTCCATCTCCATTAAAAAAAATGAACAATTTAGCCTTTCTCCACGCCCCTTGAACGCGCCACAGGTTTCCGAAAAAGAGTCGAAGTCGAGATTGCTTTCACGACCTCAATGGATTATTTATCATGAGGGTTATCCTTGATATGGGTTCCCCGACGAAAACTTAACTTTTCCCCCGATGGATATAAATTGCCCTTCTATGTAGCCCGGAAATGATACTCCAACTGTGGCGGATCCAGGAAGTCCAAATAGAGGGGTTCCAGGGAGGGTCTTGGCAAATAGAATGTCCACCTTCCTCAGCCCCACAACTGTTGGGGCTGAGGTAAGAAAAAAATTATGATTAGGGCACCTCTAGATGGCCGGAAATGGCACTCTCGGATTAAAAATTGAATACAATTTTATCTGTTTTCTCCATTGTTTTTTATTTTGAAAAAAATAGGAGGATGGGGTCCCGTGCTGACTGGATTCCCCTTTGAATCTGCCACTGTTCAATATAACACTTGACATAGCCTATCATTTTGTTTCACAAATGATTAATTCCTAATGTCAAGCGAAAGATTTTTTATTCGAAAGATTTTTTTTTTACTCAATACAGTTTTTACAACCTATAACACATTAGGTGTACTGTAAATTCTGTAGTTAACCTCCAGAGAACTTTATTTTAGAAAATGGCCTAATTAAGTATCTTATTGTTTTCGTTAAATTAGATGGAGTTTAAATGTGGTTATATTACACTAGTTTTTAAGGTTTACTGTAAGCCAATCAGTTACACTTACTATACATCTTCGTGGTTAGCATAAAGAGAACTAGAACGTCGCTCCATTAAGAGTGTCTACCTCCCCCATGTGCCTAAATACAGAATTCACGAATGCAGGCGATTTTTTCTTCATGCTCGAGGGTGGGTTTCAAGGAAACTTTACAGACGCACGTAAACAAACGTCAATCAACATTTGGTTGCTCAACTCAAAAAGGGGACTTGTAATGTTCGTTAGAAAATGAAAAAAAAATCTATATTTTATAATAATAATAATAATAATAATAATAATAATAATAATAGGTCAATTTATAAGGCGCAAATAAACAGGGTGTAAGCACCAAATAATAATGATAATAATAATAATAGTAATAATAATAATAATAATAATAATAATAATAATAATAATAATAATAATAATAATAATAATAATAATAATAATAATAATAATAATAATAATAATGACATTGCAGCGTTCGTAAAATGTTTGTCACTGGTGTTGGGAATAGTCACAAAAGTGGGGGGGGGGCAATGGCCCCCTGGCCCCCGCTTCTGACGCCGTTGAGCAACATACTGTATAATAAGGTAAATGTACATAAATTATCATCATCTAAAATGTTTGTGTGTGTGTGTTTTTGTGCGAATTTTACTCGGCTTGTTCGTTGCGTGTTTCTTTTTGTCATCTTGTACCTATTGTATTCTAATTAATCAAACCTTTTTTCAGATGTGTTTTTTTTTAATTTTTAATATAGAGCCTCTAAACATCAGCTAGACTTCTTGGTCCAGTCGCAAGTGTCACACCCTCTATAAATAAAGCTTGAATAAAGAATACAGAAAGAATCGTTTTTTTGAAGTTTGAATACTATTGAAAGCAACTGTTTTCACATATATACGTTGCAGATAAAACACTGGTATTCGACTCAAAGGTGACACGCCCACTTTTTAAGCATCCTAAATGACAAGGCAGGAACTCCGAAGAGATTCTTTTGTGATGTAAAAAATGTTACTTTAAACTGTCTTGTGTAATACTTTTTAGTTTTTGAATATATATAAATTGTATATGAAAGAAAATGAGGAATCTGCTAGTGTGAATATAATCTTTCGAAACTGGGTCTTCATATTCTGCTGTCTCTGCAGATATCTTAACCATCCTTAACCAATTGGGTCACTGCAGCTTTCCTTGGAAGTTTGAATCCGATTGGAGCATTCGACAAACGCGCAACGCATAAGCATAAAACAAAGATCAATGTAATAGGCATACGTGTATATATATATGTATGTATATATAGATTAAAAGGCAAAATACTGAAAAACAACAATGCTGTGGGAAACAATGGCTGGATCTCAATAGAGATACAAAATTGATAAGCAACAGCTAAAAAGTAAACGTAAGTAAACAGCCAGAAATAGTGATTCTATAGCAAACTGTTGACCACCAGAGGAAAGTTGCCTGATATTGTACTTCTATAAACAAGTTTAAATATCTGAGATACAACAGTGGCTAAAGTAATAGGACAAAAATTACATTTTAAGTGATATCTTTAACTTAATTAGAAGTAAAATAACCTTATTTCATTTCGGGAGTAACATGACTATGCCATAGCGTTAAGCTAAAAGCATAAACTAAAAAATGTGAACCCTCGCACTAAAAATTTGAAGGTGCTCAGTGTAGACATTGTCAAAGCTTGTGGATTTACCTAGTGATTAATGTAATTCTTTACAGTTTCATGATAGGACAACATATTACAAATTTCTTTCAACTACCTTGAAACGTTTAAGAGTGCCACCGTTAATTGTTTTCACCTTTTCCCAGAACTTTAGGTAATTGTCATTAGCCGAAGATTTAGCCATAGAGTCACAACACAACAGAGTTTTTTATCATGTTTATATTGTCTAAAAGCCATTTTAAACTGAGACCTAGATATTAGCATTGAATCATAAAGAGGCCCATATCGGGCATGCATTAATCCATTGAATAATGCAATTGATGGTTAATACAGCAATTTAAAATGTTTTGAACATTATCACATATTATATCTCAATCAGTGAAACTTCTTGTTCGTCGAAAATGTTTAACTTAGGCATGAAATGCTTACGTTTCTTATGAGATGGTTGACTTGGAGTCAACTGTTCATAAAATAATCGTTTACAACGTAACAGACCTGATATCATTCAACAAAAACTCGGTTTTCTGTCGATTCGTATTTAATGGACGTATCGCACAGATGTGATACCGGTACTCAACGCGCATTTCCTGTCGAACATTGCGCTACGATTATTTTACCGTGCGTTACGCCGATTTCACAAAACAAACGTAGCAACCAGTTTCCTGTGAAATATAATTTTTCTTTGCAGAATTTGTCGCAATCGTAAGAAATTCTGAATTCTTACGTCGACAAAAAAACCAACGTAAACGACGTACTAGCTTCGTATGTGTTCCATTGCACTCTCAGATATAAACAAATGGTCGTAATAAAGCATTCAGCTAAAATCGTTGTCATGATAGCCCTATATCAAATCATGTGATCAGAATAACTAAATTCTTTATTTATTTACTAAAATGCATCCTTTGCATGGGGAAATAATAGTCAATACTCTTGGAAGGATTAGAATACCTAATATTAATACTGGGATATTCAGGAATTCTTCGAAAATTATAGAATATAAGAGAAATGTAAGATAATGTATGTTTTAAGTGGATTTCATGTAGTTACGAATTGTTTCTTGTGATGTGCTACTCAATATGTATATTTTTGGAATTTCTATCATTGTTTAAGTGATGCAATTATTTGAAAAAATAATTATATAGGACTATATGATTTTGATTCGAAATAAAGAATAACAAGTTCATAACCGTACCATGACAAAAAGGTACTTGTATCTCTATCTGTATTATATATATAATGTAGAACATTATAAAGCAGACCTATTATTTTTTCAATGTGTGTTTTACATCCGACAGAAATTGCGTTTGCAAATCACACGTAGTATTTGCTCTTAGTATCACTGTGAAGCTTAAAAGAGTTCAATTGCTTTACTGGTATAATAATATTTAAGTGGTGTATGAATAAGAATACTATAATTTTCTTTGTTTGACTATTCTGAAAGTGATTAGCTATATAGTAATTGATATACTTCTTCACGTAGGACTATTCTTCTTTTAATACAGCCTGTGCCGACTTTTTTTGGGGGTCGTCACACTATCAAGCTACATTTGTGGAAGCAGACGACTATTCAGAATTCAAAATATGGAACGAAGTTACGTGCCAGCAAACGGGCTATCAACTTGTGAGCATAACTACTTTAGATGAAAACAATGCAATCCTCAATTCCTTGGAAAACTGTACACATGGAGACTATGCCATCGGATTATCACGCCAGATGGGAATGCCGAGAATGAGTGCCAGCAGTTGGAAGTGGGAATCCGGTGAGACTGTGAACCTGCTAAATTGGGGTAGTAATGAACCAAATCTTCAAGACAGTAAGTCCGCAGGAGTGTATATGACGACTCAGGTATCCTATGTACCTGGTAAATGGCACGACCTTGAGAATACCCAGCGAATAGGGTTTTATATTGGTAGTCCTGGATATGGATATATTTGTGAAAAATTAACGATACGTAAGTGACAATAACTAATCAACATCTTGTATTATCCACCAATAAAAGTAAAATACATAATGTGTACACACTCATCGTGTCAATCACAATCATTTTACACTTAATAATAATGAATCACATACATGATACTGTGCATAGCCGGCTTATCCCAACCTCTTTATTTTTTGTAACACAGCAACTACACAGGTATCAACAACTGTTGGTGGAACATCAATGCAGTCGCTTACCAGTACTATAAAGTTGAGTACCACTCGTAGGCCTACATCAAGTTCATTCACTGTAATTGATCGAACCACAGAACGATCTAGTATCAGTGATGAAACAATTACAGCTAATGCAGAAGGTATGGTAGGCAAGTAAACACACGCGTCATTGTGCTAAATTAAAAATAATACTGGGTAAAGTGGTAAACATGTATGCAAATATTTTACATGTAAAACACAATCACATACATGAATGCAGAAAAGAACTTATACCCGTCTCATTTTTTTAAAATTCATAGCAAGCACCTACTCCAATACGACCAAAGAAACAACTGGAACCAGTGATGAACCAAGAACGGAGGCTAACACAGGAGGTAATGTTAAGCATCACAACGTCACTGAACTAAATATAAGCATAATAGTGGATAGGAGGAATTTTTTTTTTTTTTTGAAATAGTACCGAGTCCTTAATATTCACACCTGGTATCAGTCTGATATGCTATATAGTTGAGAAAAAAACCAATGATAGTCAAGTTCAGTAGTCAATAAACACATTTAACTGCCTAGGTAAAACATATTGTGTCATCCGTGTAAACATGTTACACATTATAAAACCAGGGAACAGTGAAATTACAATTTCGCTGTTCCCTGATTAAACACAATCACATACTAAACACACGAACAAAAAAAAAATCGTTTTCGTTTCACAGCAACCACAAAATTGTTTACAACTGCTAGTGGAACATCATCACAGTCTTTAACCAGTGGTGTACAACGCACATCAATATCTACCACGGTAAGAGAATCTAGAGAAAGAACTGCTAACACTGATGATCCAAGTACAAAGGCTGCTACAGATACAGGTAAAGATAGGCCATTAACTTAGGAAGTTGTTGAAATAGAATTGTTGGTACCACGATATTCGGATAAATCAATAAGTATGTGACAGTAAAAACAACACCTTCAATTATTGTATCTTTTGAAATAGATTCATCATCATGTAATTAATTAAATTTCTATTGCACAAATCAATGCTGCACAAATCATAGCTCGGCTCCTTATAAGCCCCATTTTCATTTTACAGCGACATTATTATCCACGACTGATGATGAAACAATACAGTTAACCAGTGGTAGGTCTATGCAGCCGAATAATAGCACACCTACATTACCTACGACGGGAATTGATGAAACCAAAGAAGGAACTGGTACCAGTTATAAACCAAGTATGAAGACTAGGCCTATCACAGAAAAGGGTAAATATTGGCAGTTAAAAGAAAGCGTAATTGTGTGGTTTGAGAAGTTGCTATGAAAAAGCTCTACACTTTTAGTTACATTCTGAAGTACATATTGCGTTCACAATCATCATGTAAATATTTTACATTATTAAAACGCAATCACATACATCAACGGTGCACACATCATAACCCTGCTCATATCAACCTGTTATCCATTTCACAGCAACCACACAATTATCCACGACTGCTAATGGATGTGGAATATCAATGCAGTCATTTTCTAGTGGTATTCAGTCGAGTTCCACTTCCGTATACCTAAATCAACACCAACCACTGAAATTGATGAATCCACAGAAGGAAATAATGAAAAACAAATGACGAAAGCTAACACAAATAAAGGTGCAAACAAATTGTAACCGTAACTTCCAGCGTCATTGTGCTAAATTCAAAATACAAGAATAATGAACTAGGAAATTTGTCCATCAATGGTAATCAATGGTGAATAAATATTCTGGGGAACAATACGAGGTCTGGAAAATTCCGGGCAGAGGCAGCGGCAAAGCCATCTGTAGCCTACTGTGAGGGTGTAGAGATGTTTGTAAGCTGTTCTGGGTCAAATTCTGAGACGTTTTAAACTGTTTTTGGTGAGAAGAATCAAACCTCTCCCCCTCCCCCCACCACCCCAAACCACTGACGGCGAAACAAAACTAGGGAACTTAATTCCCTGCGTCCTGTTGTTGCCGCCACTGGTATAAGTTTGAGGTTGATGTCATATACTATAGCTATTTTTTCATATGAAAGAACAGTTAATGTGACTATAAAGCAATGGAATATGACCTTTTGTGTGGGTGTAAAAAACTGAAAACATTGAAATGTCTATGATCATATCGGGAATTCTTGGCACTTCAATTACTCTTCTGATGACAAGTATGGGTAAATTGAGAGCTTTTGGAACTTACTGTTGGATAGCACAATGTAATATTAAAGATAGGTAAAAACAGCAATAGATTCAGTCAACATTATTCTGATTTTGAAATAAAATTAAACTACGGCTTGGGGTTTAAAATGTGTGTATCACTATATACATTGATAATATTAGTAATATACATTGATAACAGTACTTTCCACATATCATTAAGGAGGTTATATTAAATTTGAGGACAACTAAAAACCTGGGCGTTTGTTCAAAAAAATTATATGTGATATTAACATAACGGCAATGTGGTTATTTATTTTTCAGGCTGGATGACGGTTGTGTATGTAGTTGCGTCAATTGCTTTTGTTATTGTAGTCTTGGTTTTATTATATAGGTGCGTATAATAGCTAATAGTACATGGCAGTTCTATATTTAGTTCCGGGTTACCATTAGATAATCCTCATAAATAATGGACATTCAGTATTTCCCCTAACCTACTAGATGTTTGGTTATTCTACATCAAAAGAGAGAAATACAAATATAGTTTTCTAGAATGTTTTATCATTTACAATATTATTCTTTAATACGCTATTATATTGTCAGGGATGATGTGCTAATGAATTTAGAAGTTACAGGTGAGGTCATATTAAACCTCTTGGGTGCAGGGCACAGCTTCTGAGGCAGAAGGGGCGTACCCCTTTGGATCCTCATGGTTTCTGATTTATCGGGCCACTTAAAAATGTTCGAAGAAAAGCATTGATTATTTAAATGAATTAAATCTAACAGATTATCGTGTTATAAAAGAAGAAAAAAGAGAAAATTAATGTTTAAGTAACTTTGGTCAATGAAATGATCAGAAACGGGACTGCTAGCCTAGGCCAGCGTCTATCTAAGGCGTGCGCACGTCCTCCATCCCCGCCAAAAAAAACCCATATAACTGCCAAGTAGATAAAAATCACCTCATATCACCTTATTTTGAGAGCTAGCACTCCTCATTTAATCAAGAAGAGCCATTCATTCACAATTTAAAGACACCAATACCTAGTCTACTTTTTTTTTGTTATCAGTATTTTTTTAAATAATGCCTAGCCACATTATAAAAAATATATATAAAGGAGTATTGCTATGGGTCACTCGGGAAAGCTAAAAACTGCTTTTATTTCAATTTAATTCATTTCAATCTTTATTAGTCCAATATAAAAAAATATACACATCAAAAGTCTTTGTTTATACACTCCAATATATAAACGTTTAGAAAATTCAATATATATAAAAGGTTAAAAAATTCAATATATACAATTCAAATACAAAAGTTAAATTAGGTGAATACTGTACAATTTAAATAATAATTAGATTTGAAAGACCTTATCGTTTCTCGTTGATTTTGGTAGTTTGTAGAGTTTTAGGTTGCGCTTTGCATTTATTTATATAATTAGCCTGTAATTATAATTTTCACTGTTATAACCAGTCGTATTTTTCATTTACTCAAATTCAAGGCTTCGTGAAAGATCATGTTGCAAGTTGAAGTCCAGAATGGATGCGGAACTGGTGATGATAAACATAGTTAAGGATCAGCCGCTGATTGATTCCACTGAAAAAGGTAGTTGCGATGCTGACTCCACTACCATAGAAACATTATTATACAATGGCTCATACGGTAAGCCTAGTATTGATTCTGCAAACATAACAGGACAAGAAAAATATCCGGGTAATTTTGCTAATTCCATCATTAAAAATGAACCACCAGTGAGTTCACACGAGGCGGATACTTATCAAGTGAACCAGAGAACAAGTGTACATGACAAAGATAATCCACATGATTATGAAGAGGAAGTGGACAACCCGGTCTACGATGCTCTCCCATTTGACTGCTCAGAAAATCTTTACGCCTCACCAGATGAAATGACTGATGTTGCTGGATATGGTGTTGTATTGAAAAAGAATGACTCCTTGGCTAAACTGAATTCTAAATATGACATGTCAATGAAACGTAATCCCCAAGTGGAAAGTCGTGGCCACAGTAGTATCCAATCGGAAACAGAGAATGATTACGCTTCAATACAGTGACGGATTTAGAGGCGTACTCCCCCTCTATTTTTTTTGTAAAAAATTGTTTTGTAAAGCTTATCAGAAAATTACCATGCTAAATATTAAAAATTAATCAAATATCAACTCAAATTAATGAAGGTGCTAGAGGTTTAAGGGAGAATCTCACCTTGCACCCCTATCAGGGGCTCTTTCCTGAGACTCTCACTTTGTTCGGACATTCACGCCCCCTCTTTCTTACCGGGCTGCATCCGCCCCTGCAATAAATGAAATGACTGATGTTGCTGGACCTGGTTATGTGTTGAAAGAGACTGCTGTGCCTGTAGACGATCATGATGAGGTAGCAGACTCGAACACTGACGCTCTGTATGCAAAACATGACGTGTCCATAAAACGTAACAAGCAAGTGGAAAGTCCTGGCGACAATAATTACGCTTCATTAGATAAAATGACTGCTGGCTCTGGTGATGTGTTGACAGAAACTGACGCCACTGCAATACACGAAGATGATCATGTTAAGGTAGCAGACTCAAACATAGACGTTCTGTATGCAAAACCTGACCATGTCCATGAAACGTAACAACCAAGTGGAAAGTCCTCTTCAATCTGAAACAGAGAGCAATAACCATGATTCATCAGATAAAACAACACTAATTACTGGATAAACAACAAAAATAGAACATTCCTTGATGAACACTATAAGATGGGCTCAAACTTTATACTAAAGTGTAACGGCCTTAAATGAGACAAAACGACGGAACCTTGGTCACATGAAGACTATCATCATCATGACCACTATCACAACTTCCATTATCATCAACAATAACGAAAACGTGATGGTAGGCCTAAAAACTATATCTCTAATTAAGCTCTGCAGGACACTTACCATTGTCTTGTAACAACATTCTGATGGCACACACATTGCTAATAGATTCACATGGCTACGTTTCTTTTGTCACATCTACTTTTTTGTATTTTTTATCTTTCATATTATATATAATTACGCTTATTTCAAAGCCTAAAATCATAAGAGACAACCGAGGGCCTAAATAAACGTCTCGGATCGAAACCTGACGGTATGAAAAACTATGACAACATAGATCATCGAAGTCCCGATCGCGCGAAATGCTATCAATCCATATTTCAGATTAATTGTGGAAAATATAATGAATTTTAAAGAGCAACATTCAACGTTTATCTCTGCGGTTTTATATGGAACGTCAAAAGGGCAAATTTTAAACACACCCAGGCACAGTCAATTAACAAACACAGTAGATTTTTTCAAGCACAGTCAGTTTTCGGGTTCTCAGTGAGTTATAGTAAAACTTCGCTTTAGCTGCCCCTGACTAAAATATGTTATGGTATATTGTAAACCTTATACCTATATTTCAAATTATGTTAGTTTTAATTTTAGTGCGAACTAAAACGTTTTCCTAGAAAATATATTATACCAATTAACACTACTGCTGTTTCATCTCATTTTAGTGTATACAAGATATTCTTATGTCATAAAAATTATATGAAATTGCTTTCAAAACCTTCTTCTGTTAGTGGTCATATTGTTCTGTTCTTCGAAACTAATCGCAAGGGTAAGTGACCAGAGCGAGCGCACCCTCTTATTATGAATTACCGGTACCAGGCGCGTAGGCAGGGTGGGGGTGCAGATGGTGCGGACGCACCCCCCCCATTCCAAAAGGTCCACTTTTAAAAACCTATGATTTCACAAAATAGTTCCTAATTATCACAAAATGCTATAGCATGCATTGCATTATATATTTGCCAGCTTATCTAACAGTTGATTTTTAATAATGGGGTATGAAATTTGTTAGAAATTGATCGTCTCCGGTGATTGCAGATTGATCTATATAATATAAAGAATGTTATATAGGCCTGCAGATGTACAGGACATAATAACGTTACTTTTTCAGGTCCCAAAAACACCCAAATTAATGAAAATTTAATTGAAATATTCATGAATTATGTGTTTGAGAAATCTATTATGTAAGACCCTCAAAATGCTAATTTGTCGCTTTTCTCACAAACCCCCTCCAGGCCTCTGCCCCTGGACCAGCAAATTTCAAAAAGTCCACTTTTTAAAACCTATTATTTCACTAAAATCGTTCCTAATTATCGCGAAATGTTATAGTATACATTACATTTTTTTGCCCGCTCTTCTACCCGTTGAATTTTAATAATGTGCTAGTAAATCTGTTGAAAATTATCAGCTCCAGTGATTGTAGGCCTACAGATGTAAAGGACATAAAAAATTACAATTTTACAGTGGTGGATTCAAGGTGGAAGAGCCCCCTAAAATTATAAAAGAAATGGAGAAAAAAGAAAAATCATAATTAAAGTTTGTCTGAGAGTGCCATTTCCGGCCACTTTGAGGTGCCATAAACATAAATTTTCTTACCTCAGCCCCAACCATGGTGGGGCTGAGGTGGTATTGACCATATGTCTGTGTAAGTTTCTCCCTTCACCCCACCCTCTATTTCTCCTGCTTTGCTGTAGGTCCCTAGACAATACTCAAATGAATGAAAATTTAAATAGGATATTACATATGGATTTTAGAAATCCATTAAAAAAGGCCCTCAAAATGCTAATTTGTCAGAGCTTCCAGAAGATTCGCCCCACCCTCGCGGGGATCCCTAGGCAGTCGCCCATCGTAAGGTCCACTTCGGTTGCAAAACGCACCTCCCCATCGCAAAACCTGCCTACGGGCCTGGGTACGTCTCTTACTATTTAGAAAATTATCTTCGAATTGTAACTTTTAGTATTACATTGTGTATATGTTGCGTATAAGAAACATCAAAAGAGGCTACCCAGTATAAAGAACAATTTAATTTAAAAAAAATAGAATAAAATGATATAATCATTAGCATTATTATTATTATTATAGACAGCATCATAATTATCATCATTCCCTCCTCTTCATTAACATTATCATCATCCTCATTATAGCCTAATCATCATGATCATCATCATACATATTTTTATTGTGAGTACCAGCAACAAAATTGTCCCCATATTTCTCGTCATCCTCCCAGCGTTACCATTTCCTACTATTTCCGGCCATCTAGAAGTGCCATAATTTTTCTTACCTCACCCTCAACCATGGTGGGGCTCACGTGATCTCGACATCTGTGGAAGCTCCTCCCTACCCAATCCCCTCTCTATTTAAGTTTCTGGATCCAGTAGAGAAACCAAATGGTAGTCGGTAGGTGTTTGATTCAATCCCGATGAGGGTCAAATTATTATTATTATTATTATTATTATTTTTATTATTATTATTATTATTATTATTATTATTATTATCAGCATCCTTCTCCTCCTATTCATCGTCATCATCTTAATTTTAACAGCATCCTCATCCATGTCTTTGTTGTGAGTACCAGCAACGTCAATGCCACCATTAGTGTCATGTCTCTCATCCTCCAATCGTTACCCAGCAAAGACATCATTATCATAGAAACGAAATACAGTAATTGGTATTTACTATCGTGAATTTTCAATGTTTTTTGTTTATTATAGCATAATATGTTAACGTCGAATATTAAATGTCTTAGTCTATAATAATGTTTATTCAGTTTATTATAGCTACAATATAGTTGTAAACGTGTTTACACTAACCGATTTTTACTAAGTATTTCTATAAAATTTTGAATGCAACTGATAGTTTATGACCATTTACTCTTAACAGGTTCTAGCTTTTACTATCATATAATAATAGGCCTATGCACTGTTATCATACCATTGTACGTAATAAAACATTATATGTAAACTTTTATTTCTAATGGAAGGGCGACTCCATACACAATTATGATGTCTTTGTAATAGTTGTGTACTTCTAACAACAATCATCTGACGACCTGAGGAAATACAAGAGATAATTACCCAGTGGTCTTATAGCTCAGCTGGTACTGGAGAGCTTGTAGACCTACGTGTTTGAAAGGTTGGGTAGTGTTTGAAGCCATTAAAGCTTATAACGACCCATCACATTTCAATTGGTAAAGCAGCAAAATGGTAGTCGGTAGGCGTTAGGTTCAATACCCGATGACTGGTGTCAACGTTTTTATAGATATTGTGTAATAAAATGATAATATAAACGACTATGTTTTGCTTTTGTTTTTCAAACATGTACATTAAATCAAAGTACTTTACCCTTAGCTGCATAGGCAGAATGACAAAATAAAATCTAAGTGTAATAGAATAATATATCTGCCTCTTGTTTCGGGCATAGCCCATTATCAGTTATATTTCGTATTTTTATATTATACAAGAGAATTTTAAAACAATAACATTTATGTCGATAATAATATTGGTAGTCTCATGGTGTTTGCATATCTCAGTTCTGTACACCATAGCTAGACCTTTGTTTTATCGCCGTTATGTAGACGATATTTTCTGTCTTTTTTCATCTAAACATAATGCTATTTCATTCTTTAATTTCATTAATAGACAGCACCAAAACATCAA